TGAGCTTCGTTTTGAAAAAAAAAAAAAAAAAAAGAAAGGATTTGTTTCTCAAAGATCTCAAATATCTTTTGGATTAATTTTCTCGTTTCGTGGTTTAATGATTTGTTTCGTTTTTTTTTTTCTCTACGTAAGATATTTTCATTTCATTCAGTTTGGTAAAGAGATATCTTTCAGATTTTTTATCTTTAAGTTCTTTTTTGGGTAAATATAAAAAAAATTATTATTTCTATCGAATTTAATAAATATTCGTTTTTTTAAATAAATAATATTCGATTAATTTTCTCGTTTCGTGGTTCAATGATTTGTTTTGTATTTTTTTTTCTCTACGTAAGATATTTTCATTTCATTCAGTTTGGTGGAGAGGTATCTTTCAGATTCTTTATCTTTAAGTTCTTTTTTGGGTAAATATAAAAAAATTTGTTATTTCTATCAAATTTAATAAATATTCGTTTTTTTAAATAAATAATATTCGATTAATTTTCACGTTTCGTGGTTCAATGATTTGTTTCGTTTTTTTTTTCTCTACGTAAGATATTTTCATTTCATTCAGTTTGGTGGTGGAGAGGTATCTTTCAGATTCTTTATCTTTTTTTTTTGGGTAAATATAAAAAAATTTGTTATTTCTATCGAATTTAATAAATATTCGCTGCAAAATTTTTACCTTCGATCGATATTCCTGAATATTTTCTGAAAGCAGGGCAAATATTCGAGGAAAGAATATATAGAGACGCGGTATCCAAATATTTGCTGTATCAACACACACCCGTAATAATTAATCATGGCCGTATTATGGGAAAGCGCGCGATATTTACTTGCTTCATCGTTACTACATCAATGTTGGAAAAACTGTTCCTAACTACCTACCATCAGGAAGGCGTCGAGGCTATCTATGGATAACGCTTATGAGAGAAGCACCATGCATTATTCATCCGTAATATCCGTGATATCGTAATACAGAATATTTATTGTCAAGCACCAATCACATCAATCGAGAGCCAAATGCTGTAATCACGATGATATCACGTACCCATTATCTTTTCATCGACTACGTAATACGTAATATATTATAATTATCGAAATTTTGTTAATATTTCGATAAAACACATTTTAAATTCATCAAAATTTATTATCAAATTTTCTTAAATCCCTTATTCGATTATTTCCTTTCAGTTTTCAATTAGCATTCAAATAGAACCATCTTATTCTTAATATCGATACATACACTCGCTCTTCTTCAAATTATTATTCTCGATCAAATTTCATAGCCAAAGGTGCCTTGCGGACATTCGTATAAATTTTCTCTACGAGCCGTCAGTATAGTATTTCCAAGCTTTACAAAACTCGACGAGCGCCCATTGTCGAGTGTCCATTGATCACCGAATACAACTAGGTCGAAGGTGCTTTTTATCCGAATATTTTCATTGATTAAAATTGATTATACACATATAGTACACGTGCGCGTTAATTTATTATTTAAATAACGCGACGAACAATTTAGAGATTTTTATCTCGTTCGTTTAATCGTGAATTTTTAAAATTTTAAAAATTATTTTTATAAATCAAACAATGCTAATTAACGCATTATCAAAAAAGAAAATAACGTAGAATAATACGAATATATTGTTTGATAATTTATTTACGCTCTTCCATATTTCCTCCGCGTTTACACGTTGCCGAATCTACAAGTTAGTTCGCCACTCCGCGAAATCTCTAAACAGCATGCATCAGTAACGTCGGAAATACCCCGGAAGAGGGAGCGCATCGATCTTGGTAAAACCGACTATCGTCAGGGGTCGACGGCGGCAGCTGGAGTTCATCCAACCTCCAACTTTCCTCAAACTCTCTCGTCCAACTCGCGTGCATCGCTACGCGAGGAAAGTGTCGAGACGCGAACTGGGGACGAGAAGCAAACAGGAAGGAAATCCTGGGGGCCTGAACGAGACTTCGTATTGCGCTCGTTGTAACTTCTGCTTCCTCCTCTTTTTACGATTCGTTTACATATAGATAGACACGTGGCATTACTTCTACGCCCAGAAAAAACATTCGATCCGATCGTAAAACCGAAAATATGGAACAGAAGAGAATCGTTGTATGAAGAAAAAAGAAAAGAGCGAGAGATTCGAAAAGAGAGATTCAATAATTTTCTAATAATTTCTTCGAATATCGTGTGCTAGTAGAAAGCAAACAAATCCGTTCGATATTAATATTCATTTCCTTCTAACGAGATTCCTAAAACAATATCCGCAGAAACAGTACAGTGTTCCCAGGGTTAACCTCAACTCTCGGCTCGATCGATAAACGATTAATGCCAACCATCGATATATCCAGGTCGCTCTCAAAATATCCTTACTCGAGTGCTCTCATAAATATTCTATTCAATAGGGTGATGACACCGACTTAGCATAACTCCTCGTTCACCAATTTCGCTGCACCAACACTGCACACCGTAATATATACATATATATATATATATATTTGCAAACAACAGTTTCGAAACATAACCCTATTAAAATGTAATTCAACAACAACTCTCGATTTCTCTCAAAACTTCTCGGACAAAATCACTATTTCCGTTTCTCGACCGTGTAATATAATTTTAATAATTTCAAAAAATTACGAATATATTAAAAATATATTACCTCGATCCTTAATAGAATATCCTTTTTCGTGATAACGAAAGGATAACGAAGATAACGTGTAT